GAATAGATTGTTTAATATTAAGAGACAGATACGGGAATAGATTGTTAAGTATTTAGAGAGAGCAGAGTAGCGTGATTAGACTTGTTAAGTATGTAAAGAGAGCAGATAGCGCGATTAGACTTGGTTTAAGTATGTTAGAGAGAGCAGAGTAGCGTGAATTAGACTTAGTTTAAGTATGTTAAGAGAGCGGAATAGCGTGAATTAGACTAGGATAAAGTATGCAAAATGAAGCTGAGGACTTTGTGAAAAAATGCGAAGTTGTTTGCTGTTCTAATTGTATGGGTTTGGAGATGTTTTTGGCTTGGATTAATAACAGGCAGGAAGCGCGAGGAAACGCAGCGAATATGGACGCGTACGCGGAAGGTGACGGCGGAGGAAGCGCGGATATGGAGGTGAAAATGGTGAAGGTGATGGCGCGAGGAAGGTGACGGCGCATGGGTGTGAATATGGAGGTGATGAAAGGTGACGGGAGGAAACGCATGATGTATATGACAAGTTGGTGTCGTACTTAAGCGGAGCGCGCGCTGTGCATGTATGAAGGTGTCGAAGGTGTTCATATTGCCTAAGACGCGTACGTGCACATGTCATGTCGCATAGGAAGCGTAGGTATGGTTGTGCAAGTCGTAAATGGCCACTTTGGTGGTTTAACATTGTTTCCAGGCCGCGTATGCGCAAATATGGGGTGCGGCGGCTATCTGCACTGCTGTGTATGAAGGTGTCGGTCTGTGTGGGGTTCCTATCGGAGAGAATACGTATGCTGCGTTGTAGGAGTGAGCTGCTGGCCACACGTTTGTATTGGAGTGCGCCACACCACCCCCCTTTTTGTTTTGTTACTATATAAAGTGTAGCCATCCACCCAGCCAATTCTGAGGGCCAGAAGGGGTATTGGGGGCCATCGTGTGCAGTCTATGGCCACGTATGTGGACATGTGAGTGTGTAAATGTGTTGTACCAATGTATACGAGTGATAAACACTAATAGGCGTGTCGGTCAAAGTCAAATGTAGACGGCCATCTTAGGCTGAAAGCACCATATCCCGTCTGCTCTGTGAAGTTAAGCAGCCTCAAGCTCGGGTAGTACTCGGGTGGGTGACCACCGGGGAAGTCCGGGTGCTGTCTACTTTTTAGCCCGTTTTGAGCTGTTTACCGACTTTGCGTGTGTTTGCAAACGCAAGATATGATGTCTGGCATGTGCCCACACGACATCTTGGTTTTAGTATGCCTGGCGAGCCACTACACACGAGATCTTGTTTTTTGTATGGTGTTCTTTAATTTGATTATTATGAAGATGAAAGAGAACCGTTAGAACGGGTATGAAGGGTGTTCTAGGGGTGCTTTTCGGTGCTCTTTCACGTGGACATATCGCAGCATGCGACATGTCAGCGGAACACTGTCTAAATTAATAAATACTGTTTTGGCCGATTTCTAAAAGCGTCTATAAAAGGGCATAAGTGCAATGACTCGTCTTTGTAACCCTGCGGCCTAGGCGTAGTTTTTCACGGGGAATCCGAATATCAAAGGTAGATTTATGTACAACATGTACTTTTTTTGCAACATGTACTTTTTATCTACGGGACATAGACATACGTAAAAACACACGGCGGAGCCGTTCCCGCAATCAGAATTTGTCTAACTCTTCTAGATAAAAAGTTATTCAGCGAAATGTGAGACTTTGTTTGGCATGCTCTTTTTTTAGGTGGTTTTTTCCGGTTTTATGTGCCGCCCGGCAGATCTGGCCTGCAGACTTTAGCAGAAAACTTGGCGCATGTGTTCGCACGACCGCTCCCAAAGTTTTACAAGCATATCTCCAGTAGTTGCTTCGCAATGATTTTTTTAGTGACGCCAAAAAACGCCATTTTCGCGGAAAATGGACACCTTGGACGGCCAAAATCACCACTTTTGGCCATGTTTGGCCCTGCACATCCAGGAAGCAAATGAGACTGCTCCGTATAAAAACTGCCCTAGGGGTGCTTTATGCGCGCATTCCCGTGGTCAAGTCAGATTTTGGCTAAATTCAAATGCCTTGTCTATAAACACTTTTTTCGACCTAAATTTTCACCTGTTTTGTCCCGAAATGATAGCACCCATTCTTTATTTGCCTATATATCGCGAAGGAGGCAACTTTTTTCCTGTTAAGTATAGATAAAAAATTTAATTCGGCGTTTTAGCGCACGAGGAACAAAAGTCTCCATACAAGCTACCCTCGGTTTCTAATGACTTTTTGAGTTAGGGAAGCGTGGATCTTCTTTTTTTCTTGTTTCCAGGACTTCACATGAACTTCCAACTCAACTCGAATTGTCATCCCGGGCCCACCACGCATCGAAACGACACTTTTCTCGGAACTGGCGAATAAAAAATAGGTCACCAGATGCGCAAGAGTCTGGGATGACAGAATATCAAAACAATAACAGAATCGTTAGTACTTTTTTTGTCACCAGCGCCCTTTTTCTGTTTTCGCGTACATAATCGAGCATAACTTTATCAATTTATACCATATCGACCGATATCGATTGTCACGATAGTGTACTTTTTTTAGGCGCACATGATGGTAAAAAGAACGGCCACCTATTCCCAGCCGTTCTTAAGTTATGCTCTTTTAAAGATTTTACTTTAGAGATGACACACCCTCTCATTTCACTCCATTACATGCTCTTTTTGCTGAATTACGTGGCACAGACGCAGAAAATCATGGTTCGCAAGTCGAACATTTTTGAAGAGCGCATCGAAACGGACATTTTCTTAAAATAACATGGTATACAAAAAGTGCGTTCTTGAGCCTGTAGCAAACGATTTGCATCCATGACATCCCAAAAACTTAAAATAACATATCTCGACTCCTAGAATGAAATCGACGTGAATCCTTAGGGCAGTTAGTGTGTTTTAGTATCATACTTAACACCACAAAGTTTTACGGGGCACTCTACAATACTCTTCCCAAGACGCAAGAAAATGTTCATTTTGGGGGGTCCTCTAACGCGAACTTAATGATAAAATACCGCACTTAGTCCATAAAATACGAACTTAGGCACTATTCGCACTTAGTAAAATAACTTCTCGCACTTAGAACGGGTAATTTATGTAAATTACTTTATGGGTGACTGCTGAGTTCTAACAAAACTGAAAGATACTGACTAGCTGCTGGCGCGGCGGTTACTTTTCCAGCTATAAATAGATGTTAAACGAGTAGTCTGTAACTGTCAGCAGTACTCAATTCCCGTCAATCTGCTGTAGATTAACGAGAATTTTTGTTAAGACGACGTAAACAAAAGCGAGTATCTTTCTTGTGACGGTTTCCTAGTATATGTGAGGTGACAAGTCGGTTACTGAGTGTAATTTTGGAAATGGCGTGTGGGTTTCTAAGATTATAGTTGGTTTTTGAGGCGTTACTTTGCTGTTTAGGGTGATTTCTCGGTCTTATTTTAGGATAAGAATTGAGTGAACTCTGGCGATTTATGGTTTTTAGATGTGTCTTTGTAGGAATAGTTCTGTTGATTCTAAGACGTGTCTTTAAGACAAACCTTTAAAAATCGTGCGTTATTATTGCTTTGGGGAAACTTAGAGCGGTTATTTCGTGCGTGCAGAAATTGAGGTTGTACTCGTATGCTCTGCATAAGAATATAGCTTTATTTGACGCATTTTATGCGTTGCTCTGGGTATTTTGCGCTGAAGCGATGTGGAATTGCTGACGAGTGTGTGCTTTCGGGATAGTGACCTGACTGTGTGTGCTTGGATGCGAGGAAGCGTTTGCTGACGTTGCGAGGTGCTACATCAACGCTCTGTCGGTGCCGGTGCGAAGGTGTGTTGCGGTTGGTTGTATAGTGTTTCGTGCAGTTTTCGGATTGTGTGTCATTATGCGATACCTTCTGTGGTGCGTTTTGCGCTGGATTTTTCCGGTGGAAAGTTTCAATTTCGGGTAGAACCGTTTTTGATCTGGGGCTAGTTATGCGGCGTGCGGAGGGGACTACAACCCAAAGTATGCTGCGTCGTGCTCTATTATTCGCTTCTTGATCTACCTATTTTTAGGTGGAACTGTTGAAGTGAGGATCATATTTTTGTCTTTCTGTGCAAAAAGATTCTCGGCTATTAATGGCGGCTTTGAGAAAAGCTGCGAGTGGCCTAGCGACTGTTTCGGCGGTTGCGGGGCTGTTTGCGGCTGGCCTCTGTGTTGTTGTTTTGTGCTGGGGGCGACTTGTCGTCTTCTTTAGTATGGAGGATATAAACCTGGTTGATCCTGCCAGTAGTCATACGCTTGTCTCAAAGATTAAGCCATGCATGTCTAAGTATAAACAATTTTGTACTGTGAAACTGCGAATGGCTCATTATATCAGTTATAGTCTACTCGATAGTACCTTACTACTTGGATACCCGTAGTAATTCTAGAGCTAATACATGCATCAATACCCAACTGCTTGTCGGGCGGGTAGCATTTATTAGATTGAAACCAATGCAGTCTTCGGGCTGGTATTGTGTTGAGTCATAATAACTGTGCGGATCGCGCTTTTGCGCGATAAATCGATTGAGTTTCTGCCCTATCAGCTTTGGATGGTAGGATATGGGCCTACCATGGCATTAACGGGTAACGGGGAATTAGGGTTTGATTCCGGAGAGGGAGCCTTAGAAACGGCTACCACATCCAAGGAAGGCAGCAGGCGCGTAAATTACCCAATCCTGACACAGGGAGGTAGTGACAATAAATAACAATGCTCTGGCTCTTCGAGTCGGGCAATTGGAATGAGAACAATTTAAATCCCTTAACGAGGATCAATTGGAGGGCAAGTCTGGTGCCAGCAGCCGCGGTAATTCCAGCTCCAATAGCGTATATTAAGTTGTTGCAGTTAAAAAGCTCGTAGTTGGATTTCTGTTTTGGATGTCCGGTCCGCTCCCTCTGGGAGTGTGTACTTATGGATATTCGAGGCATTTTTTGTGAGGCTGCCTTTCTGCCATTAAGTTGGTGGGTTGGTGGGCTTGCATCGTTTACTTCTTGCGCTCAGCGCCTTCTTGGTGTCCTCTAAGACCGCGTCGTCCACGACGGATGAGGGGTTCAACTCCTCCATAGGCCCCAGCAGAACCACCTCGGCTAGCTCGCCTGCCTTTAAGGCTTCGCCAAACTCGGCAATGGACATCTCGTCCAGCTCTAGCAGAGCATCTGCAGCGGGCAGAGTGTCAAGGCTGATGTCGCCTTCTACCTCCCGTCACGCCGTTCACGAGTGTGTACAGCTGTTCACAGCAATCACGTGGAGCCTCACCGCTCATCACGTGGGACACATCGTCCGACGTCGAAGACGTCACAGACGCCCTGCGTCTTCTTCTCCTCTCCCTCCGCGACCGAGCCGGCCGGATGAGGGCGGTGTGGTGACATATCCGTCACCACCACCGGGTGCAGCAGCACCATCACTCCTCGAAGAGGATACAGTGTCTCGCAAGACACTCGGCTGAAAGCCGAGAGGTCCTCGACCTTCACACAGTGAACTAGGTGTCACTTCACCTGCATCTTCTGGGCCACGCCCATGATGCCTCGACTCGCAGTCGACCGCGACCCTCGGGTCACGCAGCAGTAGGTCATCGACCAGATTCGTACCACTCAGTGGATTACGCGCCACTCCGCGCTCGTCCTCACCAGGACCCAGCAGTTGGTCATCGACCTGACCTGCACCGCTCAGCGGATAACGTGCCGCACCACGTACGCCCTCAGGGCAAACAGCAGCCTCGTTGCTAACAATTTCGGACATACCAATGTCCAGCACTACGGCCGCCTCGGCCTCGTGCTCGCGCCAAAAGCGCTTCTGCTTCCTAGCAGAGGTGGGTTCATGACTGACCAAAGCTCCACTAGGAGCAGGGTGCGACGCACCCAGCGTTTTTGACTTCCAGTCGATCCATGGCTCATGACGTTCCAGCCATGCCATGCCAAGGATGAGGTCATACCTCGCATCCAGGTCTAAGACCAAACAGCGTTCCACGCTATCGAAGTTCTCAAACTTCACTCCAAGGTCGACAGAGACCTTCGACACAGTTACCAGTGTCCCCGTCGCGAGACGGACAGAGATCGTATCTCTCGTTGGCACTTCCAGTGCCTCAGCATACAGCTGACTCCCTTCCAGGGTGGAGCGACGGGCGTAGTTGCCCGAGGCTCCCGAGTCAATCAAGACTCTCCATGGCTTTGCAAAGCCCTTCACGTTCGCTTGAACGACCAGCAAGCCCGGCTTGCACACACTCTTCTCGTAAGAGAGCTCAGCTCTCTTCGGGGCTGAGCCCGGTTGTCCTCTACCTCTTCGAGGCACAACAGAACTCAGTTCTTCCCCAGTAGGCCGCCCCGCGCCTACTGGGAGTTGCCGTTTCCCGGCGATGACCCGGAGGGTTGGCTCGCCGGAGCCTCGCGCTTCTTGCGCAGAGGGCAATAGGCCCCTCAAGTGCTTAGTGCTATTGCACACAAAGCATCGGCGGATGCCGGCGCGCTGCCCCGCAGCAAGAAGCTCCGCTTCTTCATCTTCAGCATAGCTGAGTTCCATCGGCTCTGGACCGCTCGAAGAGCTTGCGCTACCAGCGCTTCAACCAGGTCGCGCCGACCTGAAGTTGTGCTCGGCATTTAATGCCACATTCACCGCCTCTTCGAAAGAGTTAGGGTGTACACGGAACACTTCCGTTCGAGCTGCGCTCACACGAAGTCCCTCCATGAACACGGTCACGCTGACCAGTTCTGGAAGAGGGTCCGCCGCCATTCCGGCGATAAGAGTTCTCAACTCTTGGACATAGTCCAATAAATCCTACTTACCCTGGCGGGTAGCAAGGAACTTCGACCGGATACGGTACGCCTGATTAGGCGGCGCGAACACGCGCAAAAGCTGTTGCTTCAGCTGATCCCAAGTGGGAAATGCAGCGTCAACAGACGTGCCGCACGTTAGTGCCCATTCGCGAGCGCGACCTCCAAGCCTGGAGATAGCCAGCGCCACGCGCTGATGCTCAGACTGGAGCAGGGCCGATCCCATGGCCATCTCGACCTCACGGGCCCAGAGAAGGAGATTCTCTCCATCCTTCCCCTCGAAGGTTTTTAACGCTCACCATGAGCGGTTTCAGTCTCATAGACTCTTCACGCGTCATCGACGCCGCCGCCGTTGCGGCGCTCATCTTCTCTTGGACATGTTCCAAGAGCGCGTTCTCGTAGCGGGAGAACGATTCCAGCCTAGCAGTGACCGCCTGTGGACCTTGCGATGCAAGATGAGCCACGCCTTCCGGGCCAAGCAAGGACATAAGCTTAGTAAGCGCGTCCTGCTGCGCCGGGGGCAAATTCGCGAATACGGGGTGTTCCATCCTCGCAGAGGATATAGTCAACCATCTCAGGAGCGGATTGACTAAAAGTGCTACCAAGTGCAGCGGGGCTGCCGTAGCTTTAGCGTCAGAAGAAGACGTTCGACTCAAAGAGTCACTAATACTAAGTTCCTTATCCAAAGGACACTTACAGCCCAAGACCAGGGCTCAGAGTTAATACCTTAACTTTATGCCTC